ATGTAGCTATTTTCTTACAAACAGATCTGTTTCAATTAGCGCAGTCGCATTCATTTATAGATATTGATCACTGTAGATCAATCAATACGTTAATATAGCAGTATACGGATTGCCATCCTCGAGCTAACCGTACTCTCAGGTTTGCCCGGAAACACATGAATTTATTTACACCAGTCGATTCTGCGGAACGTCTAGATGGGGAAAAACATATACTTTGTTGAGCTATTTCGCTTACATGAGGAGATATAGCTAATTTCTTGAAGCTAGCTCAATTAGCGCAGTAGCGCACGTTTATATGCATCGTATCATTTCAGATCGACCATATAATAATTCATATATCTCTATGAGGATTACCATTTTCAAGCTAATTGTTCCCTCAAGTTTGCCCATTAATATAGCAATTTCTTCACACCATTCGATTCCACACAACCTCTAAGTTCAGAAAAACGTGTCTTCAATGTACTGTCAACGGAATTTCTGCTTTGTTATGCGTGCCTTTTAACTGTTTCGCTCAATTCACACTTCATTTATGCTCAGATTGTCACAGGAACAAAATTCTCAAGTGGTATTATTTGATTGATATCATGATCTATACGAATTGTGTTGTTGGCAAATTTTGCGTATTTCATTGTTTTAAAAACAGAGCAGAGAAGCCCATGTGTGTCTCTTATGTGTCCACAAATCCTGTGCTTTCCAACAAGTTTCCGTTCTAGGAGAGACAAATAACTGAATAAAGTTTTCTTACGATATAAATGGAATGAAGTTCACTATGCGGCGCTCTCATTCCATATTCCTACCAATTCGTATTCTTTATCGCCCTTTTCATTCTCTGCTCCTTCTCACAGCGCAATACATGAAAGAGCGATGGAGAGGACGATTGCAATTTCACTACAGCAAGAATTTCGTTTCGTTCATCAAAATGTCCATTTGCATGATGAATTCCAGGCGAATTGATGCCGCTATGTAAATGTATGTGAGTTTCCACAGTTAATTTTTACAGTAATTCTCTCATGATCTCAAATTGGGCTAAGATTTGCTTTGATAGCATAAGTGTACTTGATTTCAACATTACATATGCACCCTTCCGGGCAGTTTTAATTTCATAGTAATGTGCATAGTTAGATTGTTTGTTTGACTTACCGAAGATGTTGATTGTTCTCAATCTGAAGATGAATGCATGGTTCTTATGATCAGTGCAAACATCTCTATCCCTAATGAATGCATTTCATGTTGCTCGGAACTACCAGCTTCTTCTTTACTCAATCTCATTCTATTGCCAAGATGTACATCTCCATTTCCGTCTGATCGTTACAGCAGATCGACCTTTTGATCATCAATTCATGTATATCCCTAGTGATGGATAAATCTAAACAAATGAAGAACGTATAGTACTAAATCAGTTCATGTTGTACAATTCCACACAATTACGTAAATTGCATTCGATTTCATCATCTTGCAATATATTTATCAACTCGATTTCGTCAACCTTAGTTGAAATGTGAACTCCTGATTTCCATTGATCCCTCGTTTTTTGAAGGTGTTTCAGGAAATGAATAATGAATTAGGGAATTTGCAGTCTATTCACTGTGTCAAAGGGAACGATAACTCAGGCAAAAGGGACTGAATTAATAGAATGCCTGACCGACGACTTATTGCTATTGTTGGTGCCGGTAGCAGTGGTATTACGGCTACCCGGTACGCTCTTTCTTGGTGTTTTCATCTGTTATCTACCAAAATTTAGTTTCTTTTTTTTTTCAAATGCATCATATCACAGCTCTATTCAAGTCGTTTCATGAGCAGTTCAAGATGAGAGGTTGTTCTTATTGTTAGCTTAATATTCGCTCAAAATCATACAGATCAGTATAAAATTCTCCAATTTTACCAGTAACTAGCTATATTGTTCCGTATTGCTCGAGCAATGTTCATCAAACTTATCATATGGTATCGTTTCATTGTAGCTGAAGCGTTTCGCATTCTTTCGTTTACAGACAAGCTCTTGATTATGGATTTGAACCGGTCGCTTTTGAAGTGTCGAAAACCTTCGGTGGTTTATGGAACTATAAACCACAAGAGACTGATGGTCGGTTAGCACTTTTTGGTCATTTTGTTCTTTTTCGTGGTTCATTTGATTCTGAGAAGAAACAAGAATGACTAATTGCTAGTAGTGAAGGTTGTAAGCGCTGATGCCTAATTTGAAGAAAAATTGACCCGTGTCAGGCCTCGACTTCATGTTTTCAAATTTTTCGGCTTTACAGCTTTGCACTTATCAAATTTTCGATTCAGGCTTTAACCCCTCCCCGCCCTCTGTTGGATGGTCATTCAGTTGCTGCTCTTGAAATCGAATGACCATCCAAGACTGCTCGACAGTTTGTCGTATTGAATATTCAAGTATGTATTTGTCGTACAGTGTGATTATCATTTCCATGATATGGTAACTTCCATACCATAATACTCATAAAAAAGATTTTGACTGAATATTACTTGATGTTATCGCCTACAGAACCGTCGGTGATGAGATCGACGGTGATCAATTCATCAAAAGAAATGACCGCATACAGTGATTTTCCACCACCAAAAGAGTTCGCAAATTTCATGCATCACACGAAAATGCTCGAATACCTAAAGGTTGGAGATTTCTTTTTCGGACAAGAAATTGCATTCATTCATTGTCATCAGGAAGTTTTAATCGCGCCGAAGTGTAAGTTTAATTCAGAATATCTTTCATGCTTGCACAGTTTTGCAGGTTTAGGTGATTCTGAAGGGTTTGATGCTTTGAATGTTATATGAAAAATTGAGAAGACCCCTATACACGGGCAGCTACTCACATTAGCAAGTCTTCTGGAGACGATAGGTGCAAAATCCAGTTCTGAACAACTGTTTGTTTTGTGTAAAACCAAAAATGAAAATATTGGTTCTTGAAAAAAATAGAATAGCATTGGTTGTATAGCTAATGCATGTGAATACCGTTCTATTGATCAGTTTTTCTTATTCACTTCATCTCTTTTAGCTCCACAGTTCAAATAAACTTCTCATTCTGTAGTATATACTATTTACTGAATACAAATGACCATTACGTTCAATCATACTACACGTCCATCGCTGGGCTTTCTCTTAGACCGTTGAGTTCCTCAGTATTGCAATCGGCAATGACTGCATGAGAAGCTATTGTCTATGACACGCTCATACACTTCGAACCGATTTAGATGAATTCTCATTCTTTTCGGACGTGTTGTATTCGCTCTCATAGCTATCATATGCGAATACCGTTCTATTGATGAGTTTTTCTCATTCACTTCGTCTTGTTTCACTTGACAGTTAAAATCAATTTCTCATTCTGTAGTATATACTATTTACTGGATACGTTGACGATTGTTGACAACCGAAATCAACAATATAGCGATCGAATTGATTTGCTCAACAACGTTCGACAGTCAAATGTACAATTATAGAGTGTGTTTGATAGAATGAGAATTTGACTTTAATTATTCAGTGACATGAATGAAAAATTAGCAGAAGATAACACTTTTGGTGATAAAAGCTGTGAGAGCGATTGTAACAGCGCGGAAAAGAATGAAAACCCTGTTAAAACGGCATTTGAAAACAAATGGATGTAATTTCAATGTTGCCATCAGCTAACCGCATTTACATATCCGGGATGAAGGACACCATCACAATGGCGTTCTATCATAACATGACAACTACACTAAAAACTATTTTCCCAGCCCCTCCATTACCCCTCAACACCTTCAAATTACCCAAAATGGGTAATTTCACACTGTACTAGAATCATAGTATTGACCGTTGTTCATTAAGGACTGCATTTGCTCTAAATTTTATGGTCTTCCTACCATATCCTGCTATGCACTCGTCTAGTTAAACCATGAATTGTTTTTTCCAGCAGATTACTCAAATACTCACTACACCATTTTCCACCTTTTTAATTGTTTTTTTTTTGTGTTCCTCCTTTGCATAAGAGATGATAGAGCCCCATTTTTATAATGTTCTTTGCTCATTTATTTGAGCGAATTTTCAAACGTCATGGACTGCACTTATAGACTGATTGATAACCGTTTATATTATGCTGAGATTTTTTCTATTTAATGTTCCCGTTACATGCAGAAATAATCTTATTTTTCCTAAAATATAACTGTTCATTAGCACCATTGTTACTTTTTGATTTATATTACCCCGAATTGGATTAACAAGAAAGAATGCAAATTGATGTTGTAAGTTTGCGATACCCAAGTGAATGACGACAAATATAGTTGTGGTCAATACTTGCAGAAGGTTTTTATCTCGAATGAGTTACTGCTGTGGATATACTCATGATAATGGCCGAATTGAGCATCATGAATTGTGATGTTCATGATTAAACCTGAACCTACAGGTGTTTTGAATGTGGCACTCTGCTCACTCATTGATTCCTAATGGTGAATCAGTTCAATAACGATACTTTAACAAGAAACATTTGTAATACGCAATAACAACGACGGAAAAACATAATTTCCATTGAACTGTCTCAACCACGATCACATCATAATAAGAAGTCAGCACATAAGAACATGAAACAAGAAATGTGAATGTCAGATTCATCATCCTTCAATGAGTTTCTGGTGAGGTATCACCGTATCAGTGAATACAAATGTGATAATGATTGTGCATACAATGATGATAAAAGATAATGAGAGTACACAGTGAAACATTCATACCAAGTGATGATAATGAGCAAGATTTTATTATTTCATCATGAAATAAATTGATAAAGTGATGTGGTTCGAGTCAAAATAGCACCTATTTGAGACGTAATCGTCTTCTGACAGTATCTGTGTTCACAATAATCACTGACAACGATCATATATAACACGAATCACCTGACTTTGTAGCAGCATCTGGGCATTTTCCATTGACTGTTGATCCAACTGTAACAAATGTTTACTTTTGACCGTATTTGAAGCATTTTCATTATCATTGCTATTGTTTTTATTCGTATTGATAATGTTATTAGCATATTGCTATTATTGTTGTCAATTGTAAGGTTCATTACTGTCAGTGAAACGAGTTCATCAGGGACTGTTGAATGAAACAAAATGAAATCTCAAACTCACTCCTCGATTTACCAGCAACTTCACTCGACGATCCATCACCATTCCAATTTGGGAAGACAAGATAAAGCGGTGCATAGCCTCCACCATAATTACCCTGACCTCCGTAGCCGCTGCCACTGAAACCACCACTGGAACCACCACTGGAACATCCGTATCCTCCATAACCACTACATCCACCAAATCCACCCCCAAGCCCACCGGACCCTCCAAATCCACCATACCCTCCCATTCCTCCAGTCATTCCCCCATAGCCACCGTAACCACCCATTCTCGAGTAACCTCCACCATAACCCCCACCGTAACCACCTAATCCGGTATAACCTCCACCGTAACCACCCAGTCCGGAATAACCTCCACCGTAACCACCCGTTCCTGAGTAACCTCCACCGTAACCACCTACTCCCCCTCCACCATATCCTCCTGATCCACCGTATCCTGTCCCACCGTAGCCATTCGAACATCCATAGCCAGTTATCGTGCAAATAACCCTATAGTAGTAAGCATTCGCTGCAATAAATATCGTCATTTCAGTATCATATTAATTTGAAAATACTTCTGCTCTAAGCATAATAATTTGGTCCATATTTTGGAACAGTGATTTTAGATGACTGAGTAATCATGGAGACCTTATAATAGTGCATTTGCGAATTCAACAATGAAAATTTTGGGTAATCATGGCATTAGAAGATTTCTTGTATCATGCACTCCAAAACCTTATTCTTCCCATATTTATCTTTTGATCTCCAAAATTCAGTTATCTGTCATGTTTCCAGTAGATGATCAAAGATTTTTTTGAAGAAATACGTGATCTCTAATTTGCACCCCTCATCTCACAACTAGATGTAGTAAAATTGGATCAAGTGTATCTGTTTCATTACAGTCAAGCATTACAAATAAAAACCTCACTTCATCTGGTAATAACAACAAGAAGAGGTTGACTTTCAAAAAAAAGTTCCAAATATACGAAAAAATGTCAAGTGAGCAATGGTTGAATAAGACAATAAGAAAAAATCAAAAATACTGATTAATAAAAGCAACCTGCACATGAAAAGATTAGCAATAATGATACAATTGGCAACATGATTTTCGACTGGCTGATCGGGCGAGTTTCTACGAAGCACCAATCAGGGGAGAGGTGATCACTGAAATGGATGAAACTATTGTTGATATGTTTGATAGAGGCAACGTTTGTTTGTTCTTTTGCTGGTTGAGTCTTTGCTCTGCGATAGTCTGCTTCTTGTGGTACCTCTTCATTCAAGATTATCGTATAGACAGTCTTACTGAAGAGACGAATACACTTGTGATGTGAATGATGTGAGGTGAAGTGCTTTGGTTTGTGCTGAATGAAAATAAATAAACAAATAATCGAGAATAAACGATGGATTAAAAAAGCTAACTCGATTGCTTCATTGAGAGATCACATCTTCTCTTTGTTTGTGTTACATTCAACAATCGTATTACTATATTGTTGCGTTTAATATTTGTTTTGGTTGTAATTCGTTTTTAGTGTAGTTGCTGGAACATCCTCATATCTAGTGTTCATTAGCAAAAAGATCAGTGGCAATAAGGACTGATGTTCTGAATCGTTGCTGATGATAACCACTGAAAAACTGGATCATTGGTGATGGTAGTGACTGACAGACAGAATCGTTGATAACAATGTTTTTTTTTGATTCGAATGATAATGATCCATGTAATTCATAGGTCATTTCATGAATCTGCTGATTGATATAAGACGACTAACGCAGATCAAAGCATTTAAAATGCGGTCATAAACCGAATAAGAAGGATAATTAATACGGGATATTGGTTGATATCTATCGAACAATGACTAAATCACTTATTCGGATCCTAATCCTTTGATTTTGCTTATCCGTATGCTCTTCACTCGAATAGATGCGTCGCCATCTAATCGGTTTTCACGATTCGTCTGATTTGATGCTTTCAGAATCCCGCAATCACAATATTCTTACACATGATTATCTCTTTAGGTGACTCGTTGAACAATCAACCATTGCTACTGTACATACAAATGAAAGCAAAAACCAAATAAAGTTTGCTTATAATTGTTTATTCAGTTCATCAATCCATCCATCGCTCACTCTACCCACCACTCTAATGAATACAACCAATAAAATACTATGCAAAAATCAATCCTCTAACTCTTCTATCAAGCATCAATTCGAAAACGTTTTGCAAATATTTATTTTCCTCAATCAAGAACTAAAGTAAGGTAGATGGATATTGAAGAAGAGTCAATATTATTCAAATTATTTCATAGCATCGTTAGAGTATATCCTATAAATATTTTTATATACTTTGTTTACATATCCGTTTATCTTGCTCGTTTTTCACTGGCGTACACTCTCCTCAGCCAGTAACCAGTTCCACTGATATTACGCAATAATTATAAAAATAACTATGCCATTGTATACATAATGACAATTATACGCTATTCAAACATGCACCATAACACATGCCCTGACTGTACTATTGATTCACTGTAATATTTGTTTATTTATTACTACTATTACTATTGCTATTAATATTATAATCATTATTATTACTGTTGATATTATTACTAATATTAATAATATCAACAATAATAGTGACATGAATAATAACAATAATAATGATAGTAACAACAATAGTATGCAATCATCATTCTCAGTCAGAAAAAAAGCGATTAATTTCTCGCATTCGCATGTAATCAAGCCAGCGCAAAGTCGACTCCGATCATCTTGAAGTGTATTCACTACTGATACATTTGTTGATTCACGTGAATGAATTATCAAACAACCAACTGCTTCTTTCTTGAAAAACTATTCATACAAAAGAAAAATTTATTTTATTACAAAATATTTATAAAATTAAACTATTCATACAGAAATTTATATTTATTACGGTCTTTATATAATACCGATATGAGGAATATGTACTCTGCAGATTATCATTATCGTAATAATCAGGTAATTATAAAAATACTAATGAACATTGGTAATACCGACAGAAAAATGATACAATAATTCTAGTTATTGCATAATGATCATAATCAATATTAATCACTTAATCCCATAATAACGAAAATAATAATTTCTAGTCAAATCTAGTCAATAAAAATAAAAATTGATCAGGAGGTGTTCAATTGTCATAGTGGTCGTCTATCACCAAGAACACCACCACCAAAAGTAGTAGCAGCCATCTGAAATCAAATATTACTATTAACAATAATAGTAATAAATCATAATGAATACAATAATGATAATGATTATATTAACGATGATATTGATAATTATACAAACAACAATATTACTAGTGATTTTAATAATGAATCAATTACATAGCAACAACGTTAATGACAACAAAGAACGTAAGCATTCAGATAAAAGCGTACATCCGGAACGGGGTATCCAAGGCACGTTGCCTCCTCCACCACTGGGAGGAATTACAGGCACTGGTGGTGATGAATAGCAATAACCTGACATGCATGAGTAACCACGTGGACACAAACCATTCACACAAGGACCAATTGCTGCAGTTGAACTCAAATTCATTCAGATTAACTTGATGGAATGCTCATATTCGACTGACAAGATGAAATCGCCATGTATCATTACAAATACAGGTAGAGCTCAAAATCTGTAGATCTTTCATTGATACGGTGTATTTTTGTGATAGAGAAGAATCTCTTCTTTCGTGATAGAGAAGAATCTGATTGTCAAGAAATTTTGGGATTGGTGATAATGTCCTCGCATACGGATGGCTCGAAGATGGTATTTTTTGCGTTAATTCAACGATATCTGATGGTCTAACAGGAATTTTTATTCACTGACTGATGTGTTCAAATCGCTCTCGTGACTATTATATGCTAAAAGCGTTTTCTTGCATTGTTTTTCTCAACTTTGCTTCTCTTCTGCGCTACAGACCTATCGAAGCTCTCATTCTTTGCATGTGCTCTCTGCTTACGTTCGTTCGACTATTGATCATCGAAAGTATCGAATCGGTCATCAAATGTATTGCATTTAATCATGAATCAATGATACACAAATTCTTTAGTTTAAAAAATTTTTTGGCTTTTTGGCTTCCTCATAAAAAGATCACATCAACAATCACTAGCCAGAGCTAGTATCGACAAAATAGAGCTGGGTCTGGTGCCAAAGCCAGAATTTTGAAAACGCAAAGCCAGAGACTAAATTTCAAAAATGCGGGGCTGAAGCTGAAGTTTTGTGAAATCTGGAGCCGGAACAGCAGCTGACTGTTTTTTTCTCAAATTCGGCGTCACTGTACATAATGGAGTTAAATCATGATACCATTAAACCATATATTCAAGAACTGTTAATTTACTGACAGCTCAGAATTTCATCTATTTGATCAAGATGATGATGTTAATATGCTTGATTTTACGAATTGACTACAGTGATAGCTTAAAGATCCAATTTCTCAGATCTTCAAACGAGCGCAAACAACTCACCTCCACCGAATCCCTGCGAGACTGTCGCAGAGAATCTACCTGAAATATCAGCTTATCAGCACTGACTCATTTCAACTGATAAAGTCGATCAGTCAGTTAACTGCCTAATCTGCATTAATATTGATTCAGCTGAAGGACAACTCTATCTTTTTGCTACATAGCATCAATAGAGGAACGCTTAGTTATCAATTAGTTTTGACTATCCGAATCACTTCCGTGCGCATATTATCATATCAAAGAAGGTTGAGATGTTAAATCAGAAATTAAGTTAAACCAAAATATTACAACAAAATTCTAACCAATCAGAAAAATTGCCACAAGAAGTACGATTTTTGGACGCATTTTGGAGGTTCACTGACTGCAGAGATTCATTTCAGAATCTCCTTAAATCTGTTCCGATTGAAGTTTGCATTTTTGTGTGAGCACAAAGAAATCTCGTATGTAAATATAAGCATTGTCATTCTAAATGTTGAATATGTACATTGAAAAGTTGCGTTGAATTGGAATTTTGAAAGATTTTAACGCAATTTTTTTTTAAACTGGATCTTATCAATTATCTACTAAATTTTCAGTACGTATAATGTGATATCTGAAATTTTTGACAATGAAAATGTTATTTTGACAACGTTGTTGACAATGAAAATGTTATATTCCGTTTCATTTCATTTTGAAGAATTCCAATAGTTGCAATTGAATCACAATAAAAACAGCACATACTATGTCAACAATTTTTCAGAACTCCGTTTATTCGTTCCAAAACGAATGCATTTCCATTCAGTGGGTACGTAAGCACATTTGATTTCATAATTGAAAACGCTTTTAACACTTTTTTGAACCGAGGAAGACGCTAGCTACCTGGTGGGTATATAGGTCGTAATTGAATGCGAGTAGCTTGAATTCCCAATATCTGATCATCCTGGAACGTTAGAAATCGGTAAGCTGAAAAATTCGGAAAAGTAAAATTCCGACGTTACGTACGTTAGTTTATTGGGAGTTTGTAATTGTAACTAGAAATTTTGGAGTTGCATATCTAAGATTTTGATATCGCACAAGGATGTAGAGTGAAGATCTCAAAGATTTGAATGCGCTGAATGAATCAACTGTCATTTGCGTTTGATCTACCTGCTGATTAACGGACGTAATGTTTATCACTGATAATCACATCAGTTCGTTTGCACCACATCAATCTCACAATTCATTCATACTAAACTACAGCTATAAAAACTTCACTTGATCCGTTCTTCAAACATCTCACCGACAGTTGCATTTGAATTTTTTTCGCATCATCACTTAATAAAAAATAGGTATTTGTGTGGATTACTTATCGATGAATCATTTATACAATACTTTTACCTGAGAGAAACTGTTTACTTGTGCCTTGCAAAATATTATTCAATGTCTATCACTCTATTCTATATATATATCCGCTTAACTCCATCATTAAACAGATTTCTGCGATCAAGATCAAAGAACCAGGTTTTTTTCATTTACTTTAGTATGCTCAGCACATTATTTTCAAATAACTTTTCTTGAGCATAAATATATCATAACAAATCTGATGAAATTGTGTAGAAAGCAGTGAATATAATCTGAAAATGAAGTGAACTCGTCGTAATATTAATGACAATCATAACATAACATCAATGATAAAATTAGTTATAATACAACTCTCAGAGCAATAAAAATGGTAAAAGTACGATTACATTAGCATTGTTGTAAACATTTTTTTGCCGAAAGCAAATAGTAATATCCGGATTGAATTCTTGAGATAACAATTATGTTTATCTGAAACTTTTCTTAGATATGCTCTCGAAGACAAAACAAAATTTTATTGACATTTACAAAACGCACGCATAAAATGTCTATATAATCAGACTTTATCGTCAAGATATCAACATTAGAAAGGCGCATCTCATACCTCATTCACACCTTTCCGTTTACCTCTACATAATCGTAGAATTATGTACAGCCTGATAGCGCTTCTTCTGATCACTTCATCTACAGGTTACCAAATGTCTTCGCATTTGTCACTTTCTATTCTTGCTTAACAATAGTCAGTATTTACTTAGGAACAGATTTTAATGATTTGCTTCGGTTTCATTGTCCAATGATTTGAGCACTTTTTGAGAATTGATTTGAGTGCTGATCATTTTGCTGAGTTCAATGAAGATCAGATACGCTCGACTCTGTCTGTCATTCATTCATGATAACCAACAGGGATTACTGGTGAAAATGAGGTAATCGTAATCTAATGTAGTGATGCTGTTATTGCGCAATATTGTGGTAAATATTATATCCTTATATAAAATTTCAGCAAACGCATTTTTCTATTCGTACACTTGCACATTTTATGGATACGGATGCTCTAATGGTGGAGGTCTTGGAGAGGGATTCGGGGGTTACGGTGGATTCGGAGGTTACGGTGGATTCGGAGGTTATGGTGGATTCGGAGGTTATGGTGGATTCGGAGGTTATGGTGGTTCCGGAGGTTATGGTGGAGGCTACCCACCTATATATTTCATATTCCCGAATTGGGGTGGCAACAACAATGTCCCAGTTATAGGAGGTGGAAAAACGCTAAGTAAGTTGGATGGTTTTATTTCGTGAACGATATGAAGATAAAGTTGAATGGCATGAAACAAACTTATTCGAATGTTACGATACTTTTATTCACTTAATTTTGTGCTTTTTTAATTGCAATTTTCATTCTCTGATGAATTTTCCATAAGAATTCTCTAGTCAAATGGATATTGTTTAAAAGATTTCTTCATGCTGATGAATGTTTTTGTTGTTTGATGAAAATATTTGAAACAAAAAAGAGGATTTTCAGTTGGACCAACGGTGAACGGATTATGCCCAGACGGTTCCACTACTATAAGTGGCCAATGCTATTTACGATGAAGCCGGATGGAATTTTGTTGTGGATGAATAATGAGTGGTTTGCGGTTGAGATTGATGATCAGTTCGAAGGTTATATAATCATATCACCTTATCGGATGTACTTCTTGATGAAATAATAAGCTTTTCCTTCATTATCGCATCATTTGAATGCCTTCATTTGTATTTATCATATGATTAACATCAATGATCGATGATGTTTGTATATGATGAATTCGTTATCAGCAAACAGCGATATCTTTGCATGAACTTGTTGAAGTGAGATGAATTCTTAGACTTACGTTTCATAGTTTGCATTGTTTTTAGCGTGGATTGATTGTCAGTATCATTAAGAAGATTTGATAAAGTTGTATTGTTTTTTGTTAAAACATCGTTATTGAACTGATTCACTATTAGGAATCGATAAATAAGGAGAGTGCCATGTTTGAAACAACTGCACGTTCGGATTTAATCGTGGACATCATATCATATGATAATGTCAAATAGAGCAGATCCTGAACTATCATGAATATACCTTAATGAGTGAAATTCCCATAATTAAGAGTTTTTTGTTCGTGAATATCTGACTCCAGGATACAATTGATTTTCAGTACACTTTCTATCGAACAACTGCGACTGGAGAGCACATGCACTGAACGAGAATTGCAATTATTTATTGAACAGATGAGGAACAAGACTCAAAAGAGAACGAAAAAAAAACGGTTTTAGCAAAAAGCATGAATGAGAGTGATTATGACACATGATTAGGAAATGAAAATTCACGTAAGAGTATTCGATATCATCAAAACGATACGACAAGAACTACATTCAAGCTGTCCGTACGCACAGATATTATCACCAACTGCATAATTTGTTGATGGTATCAGGTAGAAAAGACACTCATCTATCGGAAAAGTATATGACCTGTCGGGGAAAAATTTATGGTCTCAGAGATCGACCTTCATTTCTATAGGAATAATTTATGGCAGACCTTTAGACGCCAAGATATATGGTAAAAATTAGATTTATTCATTAAGCACGTATATACCACACATTTGTGCTAACAGGTAACTAGGAAATATTACTCACCAAAGAACAATCCATGGTTTTAGAGATTTAAAAACTCCTTTAAGTTAGTACATTTGATCAAGTGATAATAATATGCATGACCCAGTTGAATTCAGTATAAATTTACACTAAGTTCAGCATACCCAATATTCGAATAAGTATCAGTTTAACAACTCAAAAAATAACTCACGATCAGCAACAAAAAGCACATGCTCTAATCTCACCCACACGAATATTAGCTGCCAAATGTTTGTAATAACAGCTGTTGAATGGCGTTCATTCTCTATCGGCTAGCTTGAACTTAACGTTAATCTTTTCGGTTATTTGCAGTTTCGCTGTTTTTCATCGGATCATTCGAATTCTCCCGTCCACTCATATCGTTTACATTGATTGCTTTATCAGTGAATATGCTCAGAATACTTTTGTCTGCGTTGAACATCATTCAATTTTGAATATTATTTGTTTGAACTGAATGGCTAATCGTGAATAAAATTTACATAATTTCCTGCTGTATCATTTCATCTTGTTTCGCTTTGCATTCAACTTATTCTCCGATTAAAATTATATCTAACTGTGAATACTAAAAGCGTTTAATACATTTTGTACGTTACCAATCATTGTGATACTTTTCATTGCACTATTTCTCGTTGATTAATATATTGTTAAGTTGTGAATACCTTCAGTTACTTCATACCATATAATATATTTCAACAGTTTATTCAAATTCCTTGTGTGAACAACTGACAAAAGACAAGTCTGCTCTACAATAATGCTCTTCAGATGGCTGAAGTTATCGAACATATTCTCAGCTATCAACAGCTCGGGAGAGTTTGATAATCACAAGTCGTTCGTGATATAGGATAAGCTTAAGAGTGAAGGACTCCGGTTTATTTTCTATCCTTTCAAATCATCATGTGTTCGTTTACACCGGCTCTGTTCCCTGGGAATCTCAACTCTCCAGAAAGTATGTGGAATTTCCAACGACTTTAGAGACATGCATCAGAAACATAAATTTACACATACTTTTTCCCTATTGTTAGATAAACGCATGAATTTTCATATTAGGCGAACAATTCGCCACAAGTAAAGCTTTTCGTAGATGGAGACGCCAATCACATGATCGACACGCGGCGAAATCGAGTTGTTTTTGTTTACGATCTTATCTGTGTATTGATTCGACGGTGGTAATCTTGATGGCGAGGTGCAGAGGAGAATGATCATGGAACGTGGTTCCTACTGCCGATAAGATCTTCCATGATGTTTCAGTAACCGCTTTGCTTCAGTGGAGTCAACAACATTTTTTTTTGGTGATAATATGCTGGTATCATCACTGATTAATTGTTGTTGCATTGATGACAATAGTATTAGTACTACTAAACCGTTGGAATGCTAACAATGTTAAGCGAACGCTTATTTTAATTTCGCAGTTCGGTAGTTTGTCGGAAATTGTTCAGACACGCTTTTCACCTGTGTACTATTATCATCACCATGATCATAACATGCCCACATATATGTACATTTCATATCAATACCAATGAACACGGCATTTCGCGTGCTCTCCATTGCTTTCAGTTCGTGTCTTTCGACGTCATGCCGCCAGCGTCCAACGCATCGTTGCCCATTTGTCGTTTAAATTTATCAAAAAATCAAACTCATTGTTGAATTCATCATTCGATTTTCCATTGATTGCGTTACACATCCGTATTCCATCATCAGACTCGTTTTATTGTAGTTGTCATTCGTTTATTGGTTTGACTGTTCGATTATGCAAAAATTATATTATTATCGTGTTTTTTCGAAGTTCTTATTATTAGATCTTACCAATTACCAGTGACGTTACCGTTGTGATCTAATTAGGATAATGCGAATGAAGCATGTTTTCAGGTATATACCAGTAAGGGTGAACAAGCAAAAACGATGCACCGGAGAACAGCGAATGATCCGATTGAAGAGACGAAATTGACGAGCGTTGACCACGATGTATTCATTTCGAATGATGACGAGAGTCTAAAATCTGAAGAGGAACGACGAAACAATTGTCATTATACCACTGATAAAATCGGAAGTTTGCATGACACTGTATCGCTCTTGGATTCCGATAAGCCACAGGCTGTACGCATCATCGAAACTGACGAAGAAGAGCACTCATTTCGACTGGAAGAACCTATGCTGAAACGGATTCTATGGGATGAGGCGATTGCCGATAAAAAGGTTCATTGTTGTGGTTGTTGTTTTTTTGGAAGTATCACTTATGCTATTGTTGAATTACAGGTATCTATTATCAGTGTTGCGGGAGCATTCAGAAAAGGAAAAAGTTTTTTACTGAATTTTTTCTTGCGTTATCTCAGTTCGAATGAAGAGGAACATCTAAATGGTGAATGGCTTCATGTTACTGATGCTCTAACAGGATTCAGTTGGAGAGGAGGTTAATATTATGTGCATGATTCAGCGTTTGTGATTCTATTCTATGTATAATTTTTATTCGTTAGTATTGTAATTTTTAAAATTACTACTTAAAAGAAAATAGATAGAATAAAAAATAAAGTTCATTAAATGAAAAAAAATCTTACGTAAAGGAAGTGAACGCGAAACAAGTGGTATTATGATGTGGTCGAAGCCATTCATCTTGAAGAATGCATCGAATGAGGACATTGTTGTTCTATTAATGGACACTCAAGGCGCGTTTGACTCACAATCTACAGTCAAAGACTGTGCCACAATATTTGCGTTGTCGACAATGTTGTCTTCTTTACAGGTTTACACTTATTACTGTTATTGTTGTGTTCTTAGTGTTATCATCAATTTAGATGTTTCATTTCAGATCTATAATTTGAGTCAAAACGTACAAGAAGATGATTTACAACACTTACAATTGTTCACTGAATATGGACGTTTAGCTATGGAAAACAGTTCATCGAAACCATTTCAAGTAAAACGCATTTTGATATGATATTACTGTCCCAATTGTTGTTATTATTCTCGTTTGGTATTGGTATTTATTATTTTCTTTTATTATTATTGTTATTGTTATTGCAGTCACTACTATTTCTTGTACGTGATTGGAGTTTCCCATATGAAGCTGAATATGGTTTTTGGGGTGGTGAACGACTTTTGGAACGTCGTTTGCAAGTTTGTTTTGATATCATTTGTTGGATTATTTTTGAGAATTTTATGATTACTGTTGTAAATTCATTGGATTATCTTGCAAATTACTGGTAATCCTTTCAAAGTTTTGCATTAATGGTTATTTTTTCAGTTGCTGAAATTTGTTTGCAAAATGAATTTGGAGTAGAATGAGAAGTGGTAAGAATGTGAATGATAGAAGATAATTGCAGATATCTGAAAAACAACACGTAGAGTTGCAACAGTTACGTCGACATATCAGATCCTGCTTCGATACCATTTCGTGCTTCCTGATGCCTCATCCTGGCTTGAAAGTTTCAACAAGTCCACTTTTCCGTGGCCAAATCAGTGGTTCGTTGCTTTATTGCTATGTATTATTTATTATCAGTGGTTTGTTTATTTATGCTCTCTATTGTTTGTTAATAAAATTATCATCATTGTTTGTCAGTGTGTTCAAATTTCAGAGATCAATGATGAATTCCAACAACAACTGCGCAGTTTGGTGCCACAATTGTTGGACGTTAATAATTTGGTGTTGAAGAAAATAAATGGTCGCGAGATAACGTGTCGTGAATTGTTGGAGTATTTCAAGGTGAGTGGAATTTTCCTTTTAACATTCCTGATTTTTCGATTTCGATCTTTTTTCTTTTTTCCCATGGTAACTCCAAATTCCAGTTTTGATATGACATGAAATTTATTTTGCCAGGCTTACATCAATATATTCCAAGGAGAGGAACTGCCCGAACCGAAATCTATGCTAATGGTATGCACATTTGTACTTATTTACTGTTTATTCATTTTACGATGTAATAAATGTAATAATAATGATGTTATTAAAGGCAACTGCAGAGGCCAACAATCTTGCAGCCGTTTCAAACTCAAAAGCGCATTACGTGAAGTGTATGGAGGAGGTGGGTTGATTCGTTTTTATTACTGCTATTCCTTATGGATCGTTATTAATCGTTACTGTTCAAGGTTTGTGGTGGAGATGCGCCGTATATGAGCTCGAGGGATCTGGCTGAAGAGCATGAACGTTTTATGAACGAAGCGATAAGCATGTTCAAGAGAACAAGGAAAATGGGAGGAGTGGAATTTTCACTGCAGTTCGTGGAAAGATTGGATTCTGAAATTCAGGTTTTAACAACTTTTTATTGCTTATTGTTGTTATTATTAGTGTTATCGTAATGGTTGTTGTCGTTTGTATGGCATAAGAAAGGATTTTTTTAAAGGAGCAATACGAGAGTTTCATCAAGGTGAACAACTCGAAGAATTTGTTCAAATCAATGAGAACGCCCGCAGTGTTGGTTGCATTCATGATATTCGATTATATTATGCAACAGTTCTTTCAAATTATCGGATTGGACACTATCGCAGGACTTTTATCTGTGGCACTTTGCATTGGTATGTTTGTTATTTCTGAATTCAGATATTCATATCAGTTTCGAGTGTTTAATGTTGGTAATGATTGTTCAGCAATTGCATCTCTGTGTACGTGGGTATATTCACGATATAGCGGAAATCTACGGGAGGCCGGTACAATGGTCGATGAGGCGGTAACATGGGCATGGCAAAACTTTTTGTCATCGTTAACCCAGGAGGGTATGCATAGAGCTGTGGCTATTGGACACCGTTTTACACAGGTGATGCGTTCATTTCATTGTTTATGATCGTTGGTTTGGTTGTTATTATCGTTGGTATGTAAAGCAATGATCATTATTATTACTGAACTGATAACATTTCAGAATGGGACAGCAAGTGGTATGTTGACTGATTCGAAATCGAGGCAGCAGGCACATAAGAAGAGGAATTAACTATGATAATGTACATGAACTGTTTCATATTATTGTTTTTATTATCGTTATTATTATCAGTGTATTTGTCTTAAGAAATTTAACTCAAATATCGAATGGAATCTTTCAAAAAACATCGATTCGAACGTTTCATAGTTTTGTGTTATAAAACGTGAAATAATTTTTAATGATGATAATAATAGTAATGATGTTGATATGATGGTATTATTTGAAAGAATTGTCTCCGTATTTGCGTGTGCGGCGCATATACCACCGCTTATTGGTATGCCTTTCGATCGTAAACCCCTCCTCGTTTATCATATTTCGGGTTTTTTCAAATTTTATTTCAGTTTTTGAAATGTATTCATTTCATTGATTATAAGTTGTCATTGACTCGTTGGAAGGTCGACCACTTGGACCGACTGACCCCTCACCCACCCTTCCCGAGCTGGATAAGATTTATGGTATCGTTATTGACCTTATGAAGAGGTTAGTCTGTTTTCATCGAGGAGGCTGTCATTCAGAGAAATATTTCAGCTCAATTTTAAATGTCTTCAATTGATTTTTAATTGAACTTTGCTTTTCAATTAAGAATTGCGTTTGCTTTATTTGATCAAACTTATGTATGGAAGAATAACAATGAAATGATATAATGTGAATATGTTGTATCATATTACTCAAATATAAAAGATATTCAATTAAACTGTTTTCAAGGATATTACTATGTAAATGTGCTATTCATAGGCCTTCACGTTATCTCTAAAGCGTTCTATTTTGTGGGTAATTTTATTGTATTATATATTTTATAGATGAATTTTAATAGAACTCTATTAAAATTCCTATTGTTTTATGATATCTTCATGCTGTGTGTATAATACTATAATGCTTTATAGTGAATCTTCTTTGTTCATTTGATATTAATTCGCGTAGTTTGATCGTTATTATTATTATTATCATTCAACGACTTATCATTTATCGGTTGTTCTTGCTCTTTATTCAGATTATCGTAAAAATTATCGTTTAGACCCTCAGAAATGCTATTGAGAAATAAATAGTTCGACTCTCAACACTTAATGATGTATTATAGAATAGAGGCGATAGTTGTTAATGAGGAATTCCGTTTGTGGTTCTTCATTATTTCTAGTTTGTTTGATCAGTAATTATCGTTATGACATTGTTATTATTGTTGTATATGGTTATTTCTCAACAATAGTACCAATATTAATAGTGCACAGTGTCATATATTCTAAATAATGCTCATTGATCAGTTCGAGAATCAATTAAGATTGTTTTATGAAGGTGCGATCACTGTCATCTCTCCACCATCTTTTGAATGACTAATTTTCATTGATTCATCCGTTTGTTCATTTCAGTTGGATCATTTTTGTGAAAAGAATAAAAATTATTTCTGATCGTTTCTGGTATTACATTTACCATTACTTTCCTTTACAATTCATCTCAAATCTCACAATCACGGTTATTTCATATATCAAAAAACGCACAATTTTTTATTTTTGTCTAAATTTATGCAAGATGAAATGTTTTGGTTTCAAAATTGTCCGAAGCCACCTCCACACCCTCCCCGAGATCCCGTCAAAATGCCATCGAAATGTTTGCTCTTAGAAGATAATATCAATTCTTCTTTCCAGACTATTCGTGTAACATTCAAACTGCCATCGCGTTTATTCGAAAAACCTCTGAAATTCACGCAACAGACATCATCATTCAAAACAAATATCATTTTCACGAGGCAGCTACTTCAAGATTTAGATCGAACAAACGAGAACATGAAATTCCAAAAAATAAGTCAAGAAACGAGACATTCTACGAATATTTTCCGAATATCTATAAAATGTGCATGAAACAATATCTATAAAGGCTAAATCTTTTCATTGGAATAAGGTGGTCGTCGTCTGCCAACTGCTGCACTCAAAAGCAAACCACATTCAACATGGAAGGTTAAGAAATAAATGGAGTACAGATTTCNAATCGGTGATGTGATTGAAGTGATTGAGAAAATGATTGGAACATCAAGCATTTAGCAGAATAAGGGACGAGAGTGATAAGTCACAATGGAAATCAGAGACGAGACTCAACTAGAGACTGTGAGAGGAGAGTTTTGTGCACAGAGCGTAGTTACCTTATGCACTGAAAGCAATTTCCACTGGAAATCATTCTATATTCTTTCTTCAGTTTTTATGTCCGTTTCCCATTGTGTCTCACCAGTCTCGTTCCTTACGTTACCAATTGCACTGCAGATTCACTATGTCGCGATATTTTTCTTATTCACTGCAGTCGTATCAGTGAACTGCTCTCGTTCGTAATTCTCCCGAGAATCTTCACTATATTCCTTTCCTCAACTCACTTTTCTAGCGCAGTTCTATTTTCTACACAATTGAACAGTGCCAAACGATTTGCCATAGCAATGTGCAGTTGCTGAGATTCAAGATATCGAAATCTCGAATAAAGATGACATTCAATATATACTGCTAATGTCTTTCGAAATAAAATGCTGTCGATGTCAAAATTTGGATGCGATAAGGATGGCATGTGGTCATTACTGAACGCTCAGCCATATCGATATCAGATTCCGTAAATGAACCGTTCTCAAAACACAGCTGAATGGCGAAGCGTAACAGTTGAGCTAATTCAATCTCACACACAATTTCCTTTCTGAATTGAATAAGAGAAAAGATATGCAATCAAGGAATAAACTCGAAAACAGTTAAAATCGAATTTAATACAAATCACAAATTTATATCCGCAACAACGCAACTTTAAATTCAGAGTCTAAAAGTCGAAGAGAACCGAAAAAACAGACAGAATAATTGAATTTACAAATTGAGTGCACAGCCTCATTTCGGAGATATCAGTAAGGCTGTCATTCAACTGCTAGATATCTGCGCTTCGTGTTCGCATTTGCGACAATAATAACACGAAAGAT